ACCACTACCAAGGACCAGTAGGGGTCCTTGACCTATTGAGAACTGGGATGCTCAGCAGAAGGTGAGCAGCAGGCCAGTGAGTGAGGCTTCATCTGTATTTACAGCTGCTCCCCATCACTCTCCCATCAACCCCAGGTGGGACACTGTCGTTCCAGGAAAACAAGCTCAGGGCTCCCAATGACTCTGCATTAAGATGAGTTGTATAATTAGTTCATTGTGTTTCACAATGTAATAATAGAAATAAAGTGCACAACAAATGTAATACCCTTGAATCATCCAGAAACCACTCCTCTCCACCACCACCTGTAGAAAAGTTGTCTTCCAGAAAACCAGTCCCTAGTATTGAAAAAGCTGGGGACCGCTAGTTTAGAGGATTGCTTCTCTGTTCCTTTATTTATGTAATTCCCTGAAAACTAGGAGTTAGATCTAGACTTGAGTTCAACAAGTTTTATTGGAATATTTTATACATATTTCCATATATTTCTTATGGCACCACTCATAATTTCCCCCACCCCTCTGACAGATGCTGAGATGCAGCGGGTCCTGACAGTGCCAACCTCATGCATTCATTGTAAAACACTTCAGCCTTTCATCTTACAGTTTTAGCATCCATTGATAACCTTTGCCTAGATCCATTGATTCACCAGGATGCTGCAAAACAGCGGTTTTATGTTTCTACCACTCCTTCTGAATTTAATTCCTAAAATTCATCAATTGTGGACTCTGGGAGAAGGCGAGGGTGGGATGTTTCAAGAGAACAACATCGAAACATGTATATTATCTAGGGTGAAACAGATCACCAGCCCAGGTTGGGTGCATGAGACAAGTGCTCGGGCCTGGTGCACTGGGAAGACCCAGAGGGATCGGGTGGAGAGGGAGGTGGGAGGGGGGATCGGGATGGGGAATACATGTAAATCCATGGCTAATTCATTTCAATGTATGACAAAAACCACTGCAATGATGTAAAGTAATTAGCCTCCAACTAATAAAAATAAATGTAAAAAAAAATCATTCTCTTAACTGTTTGTAGTTACATGAAATATGCTTCATATAAATAAAAATAGCATAGATGTTGATGATTACTTCCCCTTCTCAGTGCCCATGGTGGTGAGTTGGTGCCCTAGCAATGTGTCACTGTGACAAATTAGATGTTATCTATTAGCATTTGAATCTCCTGGCTTTTTATATATTTAATTTATTTCAGCTGATTTGATCTGATGCTAAAATTGTCCCATTTTTGGCCTCTTCATATGGATTACTAAACTTTTTGTCCAGCCCTCACTGGTCTTTGAAGGCTCAACTTTCTGGCCCTTCAAGATTTCCAGGCTTATCTTGTACAATTCTTGGCCCGGTCCTGAAATCAGCCATCTCCTCAAGAATCCCAAAATCCTCTGGTGGAAAACGGTTCACAAGTTAGACCTCAGGATAATCACTATAAGCAAGCTGCCATCACTAGTAGGTTTTTTAACCATCAGAGTAATGAAGTACGCAATTCTTTTAAAAAGAAAATAATTAAATGTTACAAACTTAAGCTTTGAAGCTTTAAGACTGCAAGGTTTTACTTAAGTTTTTTTTTTTTGTTTTATACTTGAACCTCTTTCCTCTATCCACTGATTGTCTTACTTTAGAATAATATTAGCTTTAATTACATACTTGCTTTTTAACCTATATCATACATGGGATACTTTCACAATAGCAGAAGCGATATCACTAACAATAATGTGTTGGATATAGTCTCAAATTCTTTGCTTTTTTGTTTTTGGTTTCCTTTTGGTTTTCTTTTGGGTGTGGGGGCAAGTTTTTGTTTCTCTTTGTCCTTAGAAGACATTCCACTCTGAATACAGAGTCAAACTTCTGCATTTTAAAGCCACTTACTTAGGTAATGTTTTGTTCTGGGCAGTTATGTCATCGACTTGCTACAATTAGACTCATTAGTCTTAGTTTCTTCTCAGCTTCTACAGATGTGCTTATCTATTTTTTGATCCTGTAACATATATATATGGTTGCAAATTCAAACTATAAAATAAGAAAAATCACTTCCTTCTCTGCCCCTCATCCATAAGTTATATTTTTAGTAGTTTTTTACTTATTCTTGCCCTCCTTATTCTTGAAAATAGACATATGTGTATGTAAAAGTAACAAACTATAAGCACTTTTTTGGTCCACTTTTTAAAACAACTGAACAGTGTACCCTGAAGATCTCACCCATCCCACTCTCCCTCTACCCGCATCCTACGTAGGTGTTGGGATGCCCTGTGCCTTCTTCCACACTTCCCCGCAAATGGTCACTTCCGGTATGTTTGTAATCTTTTGCATTTACAAACAGTGTTGTAGTGAATAGCTTGTGCATATGGTGATTTCTACTTTTGCCAGTGTATCTTTGTAACAGATCCCCTAGAAGTAGAATTGTTGAGTTAAAGGGTATATGTGTGTGTCATTTGTTAGATGCTGTCAAATCCACTCTGTGGAGATTGAACAACCAATAATGAATGTAAACAATGTGCAAAAATATGGGTTAAGACATAGCGCCCTATCTATCCACACCTGGTGACTGGGGAGCCTCTTGATGTTCTACCCAAGGGTCAGACCTGGCTAGACCTCACACAGGAACACCCAGACTCTGAGAGTCCTGGAAGGGGCCATGAGGCACCACTGTCTTTACCTTGGCTGAAATAACAGTTTAACAGGCAGCCCTGTTCATCTCAGGCTGAGCAGGAGCTCTGCATGATTTTTTTTTTTTTGGACCTCTTTGATTGATAAAAACACTTCAAAATTATCTCTTTCTACGTTTGGTTTAGCAGTTAAAAATGTTTCAAGGCATGAATTTTATTAGGGAATTAAATCAGAATTCTATCCACTTGTCCTCAGCAAATGGATATTATTAAATTCACTGGTTTATATGACACTGCTGATCTTTCTTCACAAATGGAAGGAAAATTAACATAGCTAATATGTATTCAGTCTCTTACTCAGTCAACCAACTTGAATTGGATGCCCCCCTCTGTCCCCTCTGTACTCACACTTCTAGGCCAGAAATAAAAATCTGCACAGTCTGAAGGCTGAATCCCTCCAGCTTTCAAGTCCCTTCAAATGAACAATGTATGCACATTTGTTGGAGAATTGGCTCACACTATATTTTTTTGCAAAAAGAAAAAAAGTTCAGGTGCTAACATTTAAAAATCAGGAGATTATACATAAATTTACAGATTTCTGACTTCCCTCGTAAACTTGGCCAACCAGCCTGCTTTCCATTGTGGCAGCCAGTCCCTGGTTGGAGCAGAGGCGAGGCTTCCCCCAGTGGCAGGACCTGTGTTGCCCAGTGTCCAGGATATCTACCCAGGCTTTCCATTCATTTCTCTTGCCTCCTGGGCCATAAATCTGTGAGAACTGACCTAGACTGCTAGCCCCTGAAGATACAGACCACCTGTGTGTTACTGGACTTTGACTTTCCAGCGCCCTACCCAGACTCCAGCACACAGGGCTCTCTTTATATGTTTGGTGGCTGATATAAAGTATCTTGTGGATGTCTTTCTTGTATCTTGTGCAACAGCTTTCTTACAATACTAAAACCATGTAATTGCAATACTGCTCCAGCCTAGATCTTTGATACAGACTGGCAGCAAAGGTGCCCCTGATCTGTGCCAATGTGCCACTACCCAAAGCCACTCATATGTCACTGGGCTGCTCCTAAAGTCTTCACTTTGCTGTTTGATCTCTTTCCCGCCTAGCAATCTCCTCCCCAACTGAGCACAGCCGTGCACATCTCATGTCATCTCTAGAACGACCACACGAGATCACGAATGTATAGCATGGCCCCCAGCATTTCTGTTTATCACATTCTTAGCAGTGTTTTGTCTCCAAGTTGGCAAGAGTCTCCCCATTCTTAGTTTAGTTTAATTTTTCAGCCAAACCTCAAGGAAGAGATTACAGTAGAAATCTCTGTAATCTGAGAATTTTCCAAATCCCATGTGCACAGAGACTGACAGAGGTAAACATTTTATGGGAATTCCTGTGGCAAAGTGGTAAAGAATCTGCCTGCAATGTAGGAGATCCAAGTTTGGTCCCTGAGTCGGGAGGATCCCCTGGAGGATGAAATGGCAACCCACTGCAGCATTCTTGGCTGGAAAATTCCATGGACAGAGGAGCCTGAAGAGTCCATGAGGTTGCAAAGAGTCGAAATGACTGAGCACGCACACATGACCTTCCTTATCAGAGCCATTAGTGGCCTAAAGAGGCAAATTAGGGCAGGTCAGAGCATATATAACTAGGAGCTTGTGTTCACCACTGCAAGCTCAGGACTTAATCTTCCCTGAGTCCTTGGAGCCAGGAAAGAAGCATGAAGTGGCTTGTGCTGCTTGGACTGGTGGCCCTCTCGGAGTGCATAGTCAAGTAAGTATGGGGACAGTTAGTGGCATCATCTCTCTTTCTGGGATTTGTCTTGTCATCCTCTTATCCTTCCACCCATCAGGGTTAGAAGAGAAAGTAATTCCCTGGCAGTCCAAAGATCAACTCTCACCCACTGATGAGACCCTCGTCATGGGCACTGTGGGGTGAAAGCATCTTGAGGTAGGCCTGCAGGGTTGCACAACTCTGGGGGTGCCAGTCACATTAGGATATATGTAAGGATAGCACTCCCTGAAATTGTTCACTGCACAACCTGCGCAACTCTAGGTGTGGTGCTGTGGAAACCCATTTCCCCTGAATTTGCCTCAAGGGCTTGTATTTGCGCTCTCTCCTATTCTGTGTGTATGTATTTACGTCTTCATCTGCGCAGGCGACAAATGGTCATATGGCTTACCCAAGATTACACAACAGAACCTGTATGCAGACCTAGGTTTTTGACATGTCTTTGCACGGCATTCTGATAAAAGGTGACACTCATAAAAATGCTTGGAAAATACACGGTGCCATTACAATGCCAGATATGACAGTCACACTATAATACAGACAGCTGATTGCTAACCCTTCTTAGTTTCCGTTTTCCCCATGCTCAGTAAAAGAATCCCTATAAAGAAGCAGCAGACCCTGCAAGAAGTCTTCAGGGTAAAAATCCTGACAAAAAATTTCCTGCAGGCAAAAGCTTACAGTCTGTCCCACAATTCTGGTGTTTACCAGCGTTTCTCATCTCATCCTCTGAGGAACATCTTGAATGTGAGTGTTGGGAGGATGGTGCTCCACAGCGCCCCCTGGTGCTCTGGCCTAGCACAGGGGCTCATCTGGAGGTGCCAGGTGGGATGCTTGGACTGGGGCTCCTGAAGGAGGCAGAAACAGCGGGCAACAGGGACCCCATTCCCAGAGGAGAAGCCACTCAAATCCTCAAATCTTGATCTGTGGTGACTGGGCCCATCAATGACCAGGTGGCAGGTAAACATCCATTTCTGTGCCAAAGACATTAGATTGAGGGAGATTGTTCTTTCTGAACAAAGTGAGCTGTTGAGTTAAGATGAAGAGTGAGCCATGACTAATCAAAAGATAGCCAACTGCAACCAAGTGTGAATCCTCAGGTAGAGAAAGGTCACCCTCTGCAAATCCAAGAATGATACCAGAAAAAAGTTACTGAGCCCCAAAAGCATGTGAGGCCATAAAAGTGCCAGACTATAGCTATTGTTTCTGATGTTTTTTTTTTTTTAATAGTCTTATCTCCAGTTTTTTAAGAAATCTCCACACTGTTCTCCATAGCGGGTGTACTAGTTTGCATTCCCACCAACAGTGTAAGAAGGTTCCCTTTTCTCCACACCCTCTCCAGCATTTATTGCTTGTAGGCTTTTGGATAGCAGCCATCCTGACTGGCGTGTAATGGTACCTCATTGTGGTTTTGATTTGCATGTCTCTGATAATGAGTGATGTTGAGCATCTTTTCATGTGTTTTTTAGCCATCTGTATATCTTCCTTGGAGAAATGTCTGTTTAGTTCTTTGGCCCATTTTTTGATTGGGTCATTTATTTTTCTGGAGTTGAGCTGGAGGAGTTGCTTGTATATTTTTGAGATTAATCCTTTGTCTGTAGAACTGCCATATGACCCAGCAATCCCACTTCTGGGCATACACACCGAGGAAACCAGATCTGAAAGAGACACGTGCACCCCAATGTTCATCGCAGCACTGTTTATAGTAGCCAGGACATGGAAGCAACCTAGATGCCCATCAGCAGACGAGTGGATAAGGAAGCTGTGGTACATATACACCATGGAATATTACTCAGCCATTAAAAAGAATTCACTTGAATCAGTTCTAATGAGATGGATGAAACTGGAGCCCATTATACAGTGAAGTAAGCCAGAAAGATAAAGACCATTACAGTATACTAACGCATATATATGGAATTTAGAAAGATGGTAACGATAACCTTATATGCAAAACAGAAAAAGAGACACAGATGTACAGAACAGACTTTTGGACTCTGTGGGAGAAGGCGAGGGTGGGATGTTTCAAGAGAACAGCATCGAAACATGTATATTATCTAGGGTGAAACAGATCACCAGCCCAGGTTGGATGTATGAGACAAGTGCTCGGGCCTGGTGCACTGGGAAGACCCAGAGGGATCGGGTGGAGAGGGAGGTGGGAGGGGGGATCGGGATGGGGAGTACATGTAAATCCATGGCTGATTCATGTCAGTGTATGACAAAAACCACTACAATATTGTAAAGTAATTAGCCTCCAACTAATAAAAATAAGTGAAAAAAAAAGAGAGAGTCTTATCTCTTCTTCAAGAATGCACGGACCAGGCTGAGAGAGAGGCAAAGATTGAATACATGTCAAAAGAAAGGGCCACCTGCATGTTGCTGACAGGACATGGTCTGAGTTTAGAGGGAGTGGCCTGGGGTGACCTAGGAGGCCCACCTGGAGAAGGAGGCCCCCAATCTGGGGCTTGAAGAAGAGACTGCAGAGCTTCTCAAATGAAGTGACTGGTCTGAGCAGAGGCTGTGAGGAGGAACGGTCGGAAAGTGATTTCTGGAGACCTGCGTTGCCCAGAGGGAAGCAGTACTCTGGGAATCAGGGGTGATTAGGAAGACTGGCCTGCATGAACCTCCCCTCCCCGGCCCCTGTAGGTGGCCTACACCAGCAGCATCACCATTGGAACACCCCCTCAAGAGTTCCAGGTCGTCTTTGACACCGGCTCATCTGACTTGTGGGTGCCCTCTGTCGACTGCCCAAGTTTCAGCTGCTGTGAATACTTGCCCTTTCAGTCGTGTTCTCCCCCTCCCCCCCCTCTCCATCTTGGCATCTGACAGATATGCATCTCTTGTGTCAGCAGCTACACATAACACATTCAACCCTACTCAATCCAGCACCTTCCAGGACGTGAGGAGGACAATAAACCTCAGCTTTAGCACTGGGAGAATGAGTGGATATCTTGGCTCTGACATCATTCAGGTAACGTGGGAACCAGGGGCTTAGTCAGGGCTGGCCCTGGAAGCAACTGCTACTTGCAAAACAGATTCAGGACTAACTGGCAGAGATTGTCTATCCCCAAATCCCCTAGTGACTAGCCACCTGCCCAGGAGGGCCCTGTCTCTGAGGAGACAGCTCCCCTGCTGACACACAAGCTCCCAGAACAACTAACCCAGAGAGGGGCTTGACATGTGGATTTGTAGCTCTTTTACCCATGAGCAGCTCGGAGTTCATTTTGCTGGAGCAGAAAGAGAGGATAATAAAGCACCCACTTTTCTATTCTCAGATTCTACAGGGTACATTCATGGTAATAACTTGTTTGATACTGAAACAACCCCAGGAAGGAGGTACTATTATTAGCTCCATGATAAGGATAAGGGACATGAGGTGCAGCAAGTAAGGGCCCTGCCCAGGTCACAAATTTTTCAAGTGATGGAGCTTGGCTGTCCTTCAGGACTCAAGTGGGTGTGGGGTTTGGGGAGAGCATAAAACTGATCTGGGGCCCCTGGACAGCACAGGACTTCAGGTACCCAGGCAAGTAAACAGGGGTCACAGATGTGGGAGGGGCCTGGTAAATGGGATCTCACTCCAGGGGACATTTGAGACTAATAAAAACTATGGCCTGCCTCCTTGTAAGTGCCTAGTATACTCTTCCTGTGTCTCTCTGTCTCTCTTCCTCTCACACATACACTCACACACACGTATGCACATCAGCAAAAGCCTGTTCCCGAGGCTGAATTTTCATAAGAACCCTGCCAGTGACATTGTATAATGGGCTTTGGTCTTCTGGAGAGATACAGAATTCACAATGCATTGCAATGAATTCAGTCCATTTCTGTCATCACGTCATAGTGATGCCAAAGAGAAGACTAGCCTGCTCTCTATTCATTGCATGCTCAGGCAGGAACCATTCAGTCCTGTCCTGAGTCTTGGTTGCCCCACCTGTACAGAAGGCTGAGGTCAATTTGACTCACTCAGACAGTGTTTGCAGGAGAAGCAGATGTTGTTAAAATATACAGCATCACACAAATGGAACCCAAACTCTTGTCCCAGCTTTGTCTAACCATCTTAGGTCCAGTCAGAGTACAGAGAGTTCTCAGTTTTTCTCTGACATGCTAATGATCTGCACTCCAGCCCAATCCCACTTCCCAAACCTTTATGTGGGAACTCTCTCTTCCCACAGATCAGGGACCTTGTTGCCCCGTGGCAAGCATTTGGCCTGAGTACGAATCTGTCCAGTGATGCCGTGGAATATGTGCCTTATGATGGCATCCTGGGCTTGGCTTACCCCAGCCTTGCCATCGATGGGACCAGCCCTGTCTTCGACAACCTGAATAACCTAAGAGTCATTTCTCAGCCTGTCTTTGCCTTCTACTTGAGCAAGTAAGTCTGAGCTGGACAAGTCTTCTTTCTAAATTAGCTCTAAGATGCTTGCAGTTGCATGAAAAATTATAGACCACCAGATTCAGAATATTTCTGAGAGATAGGCTAGCCTAGGAGAACTATGGCCCCAGGATCACATCTGGCCCCACCACTGGGTTTTTGTCAATAAAGTTTCATTGGAACACAACCATGCTGTTGGGCTCAAGGACAGCAATCTTGCCCAGGTTGGGGGTGGGGAGTGGAGATAAGAGAGAGAGCAATAGAAGGTGTCAAGATATTGGATATTGGAGGAAAAGGCAACAGGATTTGCTGATAAATTTGATATGGAAGGAAGGAGTTGGATGAAGAAAATGTTTCCTTCCTCACTAACATTTCACCAGGAGCTCAGGATCAGCTACAGAGTTTGCAAGAGCCAGTCCAAAATGAAAATGTGGAACTCCTTGTTCAAAACATAATAGGAATTTTAAAACAGGGATAGTAGAGTTGGAGGTCTGCTCAGCTGTAAGCCCCACGGACAGCACTGGTCACAGGCAAGTGAAGTTAAATTGAAACCATGCCCTCAGCACCCTCGGGCCTTGGCTTTCCAGAATAGTTATAGATCAGGCAAAGAGAAAGCCAGACCACCGGCATGGAGACCTCTGAGGGTATATCTGAGCACTCAGGTCGCTGGAGAGGACCTGGCCTTCCTCATAAGATTGGGTGGTGGAACCAGGTTAGGCTGCCCAACTTTGAACCTCTTCTTTGGCACTCAGTATATGGGACCAACCTTGGTCAGGTACTCAGTCCCTCTGAGCCTCAATTCCTGCATGCGTAAAATAAAAACGACCATAATAGTGCCTCTGATGGGTGAAGAAGAACAGCCCGCAGACAGTGCCTGGTGTTACTCTCTTCCAGTGAGCCCCTGCATCCTTCTCTATTCAGCCAGCTGGATATTGCTAGCATGGTGATGTTTTGTGGAGTTGACAATTCCTACTTCCACGGAGATCTCAAGTGGATACCAGTGACTGAACCACGCTACTGGCAGATAATCATGGATCGGTAAGCCTCTCCCTCTGAGGGTCACCCCAATGATGCTTCCACACATGCACACAGACAGACACACACAAGTGCACGCACAGACACACACAGTCACACACAGACACTGGCTCCACCCACAAACATACATAAAAACACATACGAGACACATATAAACACACTCATAGGTGCAGATATAAACACACACAGCACACAGATATGCACAAACACAGACAAACAAATATAGATACACACATCACCCATGGGTTCATAATTGCCTCAGGCCTCCTGTCCAGGCCTCTGACCAGGGTCCTGAAAGGGTCCAGGGAGGTCTGGGCAGCTGGAGGAGGGCTACACTCCTATGCCATGAGGTGGGGAGCATGGTTAGAAGATCCTACAGTGTAGTGAAAAGAGGATAAGGGGGAATTTCACAAGTCTGGACAGGGTTGTGTTAAGATGACCTACTCACCAGGGCTACCCAGGACTTAGAGTGTTCTCAGGACACAGAATTGCCAGTTGAAAAACTGAGAAAGTCCTGAAAGTCTGGGAAAACTGATCCACTCAGGGAGAAGCTACCCAGCAGTGAAGAGAGGTTGGCTGCAGTCTTGAGACCTGAAACAATTCATAAAAAGAGACACTCCACCTAAACAATGCTACCAACCACCCAAACCAGGCACACAATGGGGCAGCAGCTGTGACTGAATCAAGAAGCTGGGATGCAAGAGTAGCCTGAGAACAAGGGGCAATAATAGATGAGATTCTGCATGATACCCTCAGACAAAAGCTTTCCTGTCCTTTGGAGGCCTCCTGGGTCTGCTCATATTCCCCTGGCAGGGGGCCTCAGTATCTGAGCCAGGGGAGGGGGCAGTGCTGGGAAACAACCACTCCCAGGGCAGCCTGTGTCTCCCCCACCACCACTCAGAACACCTACTGCCCTGGGGAACCTCCATCTTCACTGTATGGGCTGACCCATCATTGGTGAGACACCAGATATAGGTCTCTGGATGTTCTTCATTCATTCATTCAACAAACATACCTCATGCATCCGTTGTGTGCTGGGCACTTGAGGAAGGCTCTAAGGATACAACTCGCCTTCACATCTAGTGACAGAGACGGAGATGAAATGACTCGCACAGTAGTTCAATAGTGAATTACCACTTTGGTATGTGCTAAACATGAGGAAGGGCCTACAGAGAGTGACCAAGACAGGTGTTTGATCTAGTCTGGGGTGAAGAATTCCCTGAAAAAGTGACAGTTAAGCTGGGACCTGGAAGATAAGGAGAAATTAACTATAGAAAGAGGATGAGGGTCTTCTAGGAAGGGCACCATCACAGGTCCTGAGACACGAAACAGCCAGTTTATTCAAGAACTGAAAGGAAGTCCAAAAGGTGATGTGACCAGAATAAAGGTAAACAGAGTAAGGGCCAGAACTGAATGTCTCTTCAGGAGACAGCCGGGCAGGGGGCAGTTGTTGAAGAGATTTCAGACTGACCCTGGTGCCTGCTTTGTCCCTCTCTCTGTCTCTCAGTGTCTCCATGAACGGAAAGGTTATTGCTTGTTACTGCTGTTGTCAGGCCATTGTGGATACTGGGAGCTCATTGCTGATTGGCCCAAGTGATGTGGTCAGCAGCATTCAGAGGCACATCAACCCCAATCCCATCGGGGATAGCAAGGTGAAGGGTCATGCCACGGGGTCGTTCTTGGGCTCCCCAAACACTAAGGATCACCTGGACTAACCACTGTCCCTCTTTTTCTTACAGCAAATGATGTCATGTAGTGATGCCACAAATCTGCCTCCTGTTATCTTCACCATCAGTGGCACTGACTTCCCAGTGACCCCTAAATACTGCATCCACAAGGTGAGGGTTCATCACTGGGAGCTGGTTCCCAAATCTGGGACTTGCTGGAAACCTTGGGCTGCTGCTTGGAGGAGGGCGCCCCCTGCAGGTCAAGCCACGCCATTGACGATGCTGCCGAGCTCTGGCTGGGCCGGTGCCTCCCACAAATCAACCGCTGGAGAGTAAAAGGCCGTCTGGTAGATCCATCACCCTGAAATAAATAGAGAGACACACCCCGTGCCAGCAGTGTCGAGGCAAAAGGGGAGGGGAACTCTAAGGTCCTCAGACCTCAAAGAGCTTCAGTTCAACTGAAGCCCTCAGATGGATGAACGCAGAAAGTCAGCTCTAGCAATCCTTGAAATAGACAGGTGACAAGGGGGAGTGCTGGCCCACCCTAGTGATTGACAGTCTCCCTTCCCTTCTCGAAAGAGGCTGATGGGCTCAAAAAAAGGCATTAAGGAAGAGAGGAAATTTCAGTAATTCTAAACCCCCAGCTTCATGGAGGAGTGAAGAAGCCTGCTTGGGTTGAGGGATATCTACACTGAATTCCATGCAATCCATTGCATGGAATGGTTGGTGCAAAAGGGATCTGGAGGCAGATTAGGGGTGATGAGGGCTACAGACCAGGGGAGCACTAGGGGAAATCACTCAACCCAGTCTGGATTGGCCAAAAAGGATGAGCATAGGTCCAAGGAGGCTTCCCAGTGGGCTTAAATACAATATAAAGGGCAGGTTGTGGGCGCTGCTATTTAAAGTGGATAACCAACAATTACCTACTGTGTTGAACATGGAACTCTGCTTGATGTTATGTAATAACCTGAATGGGAAGGGAGCCTGGGGGCGAATGGATACATGTAGATATATGGCTGAGTCCTTTTGCTGTCCACTTGAAAATGTCACAATACTGTTAACTGGCTACACTGTGATACAAAATCAAAATCTTTTAGAAAAAGAATGGGTTGTGGGGAAGGGTGAGAAGAATAGGCATTTTCTGCAGAGCACAGAGCAAGCAGGAGTTGGAAGGAAAGAAACAGAAGAGTGTGAGGGGAATTATGGGAAATTCTTGTTCTTTTTTAAAAAAGCATTTTGAAAAAAAAAAAGTATTTTGAAGTATAGCTGATATACAATGTTGTGTTAATTTCTGTGGAACATCAAAGTCACACAGTTAGGAGCCAAGATGGCAGAGGAATAGGACGGGGAGACCACTTTCTCTACTACAAATTCATCGAAAGAACAATTGAACGCTGAACCAAGTTCACAAAACAACTTTTGATCGCTAGCAGCGGACATCAGGCGCCCAGAAAAGCAGCCCATTGTCTTCGAAGGGAGGTAGGACAAAATATAAAAGATAAAAAGGGAGACAAAAGAGCTAGGGATGGAGACCAATCCCGGGAAGGGAGTCTTAATAGAGGAAGTTTCCAATCACCAGGAAACCCTCGCGCTGGTGGGTCTGAGGGAAGTTTTCAAATCTCGGAGGGCAACCTAACTGGGAGGAAAAATTAAATAAGGCCCACAGATTATGTGCCTGAAAGCGACTCCCAGCAGAAAAGTACCCCAGACACCCGCACCCGCCACCAGCAAGTGGGGGCGAAATGGAGAGGAGCGGGCGGCATTGCTTAGGGTAAGGACTGGGCCCGAAGGCCCTGAGAGCAGTTGGAGGGAGCTTTTTTAAACTGTGGGATAGCAAGAGACAAAATTAACCGGCCCGAACACACTGCCGGCGGTTCGCAAAACAAAGCGACTGAGAAACGCCACAGAAGAGCCGGCCCATCCCCGCTGGAGGTAGGAGGCAGGGGGGAGGGGAAAGGGGCAAACTCAGCCCCAGAGAAGCCACCCCCTCCCACACTGCAAACAGGCCCCGGTTCCTATCCAAAGACTTCCTGAGACCCGACTACGGCGCGCACTGGGGCCACGGAGGGAAAAGGCGCGCCGCATCCGGGGAGAGTGCACCCAAGCCTCTGGCTGCCTGAGCTGCCCGCCGCGGAGGGAAAAGGCGCGCCGCATCTGGGGAGAGTGCGCCCAAGCCTCTGGCTGCCTGAATCGCTCAGGCCGGGGAAGACACAAAACGCAGGCGCAACCGAATCCACGCTTTTGTGGAGTACCCGAAAACTGGAACCACACTCAATGCAGGGCCTGCTCCATATAGAGCAGCCGGGAGCCTGAGCAGTGTAGACAGGGAAAGCACAGACACCCCTGTACGGGACAAACCCAGTGTGGCCGGAACACTGTGAGTGCTATCCACACACAGCGATATCTGTCTGCAGCGTCCTGCCCTCCCCATAGCAGGACTGAACTGAACTAGCGAACCTAAATAAGAGATCACCTCCACCCGCCTGTGTCAGGGCGGAAATTAGACACTGAAGAGAAGGCAAACAGAAGCCAAATAAACAAAGGGAACCGCTTCAGAAAGGACTGGTGCAACAGATTAAAATCCCTGAAGGTAACACCAACCACACCGGAAGGGGCCTGTAGATATCGAGAAGTGTAAGCTGGAAAGAGGAGCTATCTGAAATTGAACTGAGCCTACACTGACTGCAACAGCTCCAGAAAAATTCCTAGATATATATGTATATTTTTTGTTAAATTTAAAAAAAAAAGAAGAAAAAAAAATTTTTCTTTCCTTTTTTAAAAATTTTTTAAATTTTTTCTCTTTTATTTTCTTTTAAAATTCCCTACTACTCCCCCATTACTCCTCAACTCTCATTTTCCTATATTTTTATGATTTTTTTTTAATTAGGGAAAAAATTTTTTTTCTTCTTCTTTTTCTTTTTCTTGTTTTTCTCTCCTATTTCCTTTTAAAGTCCCCTAATACTCCTCTATTATTCCTTACTTTTCATTTTCATTTCACTATAAGCTTGCCAAAAAAAAAAAAGAGAGAGAGAGAAGCCCTATTTTTAAACTGAACTTCATATATATTTCTAAATTTTGTGTTTTTGTTTTTAAATATTGTATTTCAAAGAGTCCAACCTCTACGGTAGATTTTTAATCTTTGTTTTTCAGTATATGATATAAATTTTGGACATTTAAGAACCCAATATTCAGTTCCCATTTCTATTCAGGAGTGTGTTGATTACTCTCTCCCACTTTTGACTTTCTGTTTTCTACCTCAGAACACCTCTATTTCCTCCTTTCCCCTTCTCTTCAAATTCAATTCTGTGAATCTTTGTGGGTGTCTGGGCTACGGAGAACACTTTGGGAACAGATAACTGCATACATCTGTCTCTCTCCTCTTGAGTCCCCCTTTCTCTCCTCCTGCTCACCTCTTCTCTCTCCTCTTGAGTCCCCCTTTCTCTCCTCCTGCTCACCTCTATCTCCTTCCTTCCTCTTCTATTCTTCATGTAACTCTGTGAACCTCTCTGGTTGTCCCTCATGGTGGAGAATCTTTTCACCATTAACCTAGAAGTTTTATTATCAGTGCTGTATAGTTGGAGAAGTCTTGAGACTATTGGAAGAATAAAACTGAAATCCAGAGGCAGGAAACTTAAGCCCAAAACCTTAGAAAACCAGAAAACTCCTGACTACACGGAACATTAAGGAATAAGAGACCATCCAAAAGCCTCCATACCTACACCAAAACCAACCACCACCCAAGAGCCAATAAGCTCCAGAACAAGACATACCATGCAAATTCTTTAGCAACGCAGGAACATAGACCTGAGTGTCAACATACAGGCTGCCCAAAGTCACACTTAACACATAGACCCACCGCAAAACTCATTACTGGGCACTCCATTGCACTCCAGAGAGAAGAAATCCAGCTCCACGCACCAGAACACTGACACAAGCTTCCCTAACCAGGAAACCTTGACAAGCCAATCGTCCAACCACACCCACTGGGTAAAATCTCCACAATAAAAAGGAACCACAGACTTCCAGAATACGGAAAGCCCACTCCATACACAGCAATCTAAACAAGATGAAAAGGCAGAGAAATACCCAACAAGTAAAGGAACATGAAAAATGCCCACCAAATCAAACAAAAGAGGAGGAGATAGGGAATCTAACTGAAAAAGAATTTATAATAATGATAATAAAAATGATCCAAAATCTTGAAAACAAAATGGAGTTACAAATAAATAGCCTGGAGACAAAGATTGCGAAGATGCAAGAAATGTTTAACAAGGACCTAGAAGAAATAAAAAAGAGTCAATTAAAAATGAATAATGCAATAAATGAGATCAAAAACACTCTGGAGGGAACCATGAGTAGAATAACAGAGAAGATAGGATAAGTGACGTAGAAGATAAAATGGTGGAAATAAATGAAGCAGAGAGGAAAAAAGAAAAAAGAATCAAAATAAATAACGACAACCTCAGGGACCTCTGGGACAATGCAAAATGCCCCAACATTCGAATCATAGGAGTCCCAGAAGAAGAAGACAAAAAGAAAGCCCATGAGAAAATACTCGAGGAGATAATAGCTGAAAACTTCCCTAAAATGGGGAAGGAAATAGTCACCCAAGTCCAAGAAACCCAGAGAGTCCCAAACAGGATAAACCCAAGGTGAAATACCCCAAGACACATATTAATCAAATTAACAAAGATCAAACACAAAGAACAAATATTAAAAGCAGCAAGGGAGAAACAACAAATAACACACAAAGGGGATTCCCATACGGATAACAGCTGATCTATCAATAGAAACCCTTCAGGCCAGAAGGGAATGGCAGGACATACTTAGAGCAATGAAAGAGAATAACCTACAACCTAGATTACTGTACCCAGCAAGGATCTCATTCAGATATGAAGGAGAACTCAAAAGCTTTACAGACAAGCAAAAGCTGAGATAATTCAGCACCACCAAACCAGCTCTTCAACAAATGCTAAAGGATCTTC